AGCACAGCAGCTTTTTGCCTTGCACACGGGCTTTTGCCTTGCATACAGCGGACCCGGGTTCGATTCCCAGCACCCCAATTGGTCCCTCGAGCACCGCCAGGAGTAATTTCTGAGTCAGAGCCAGGAGTAACACCTGTGCATGGCCGGGTGTGACCCCCCCCCAAAAAAAATGAATGAATGAATGAGGCTGGCCCACCTCCTCCTCAGATGCTCTCAGCCAAATACTCTACATGGCCTGCAGGGGTGACTGCAGAAAAGGGATGAGATCATGCAGCTGGGTCCGCATTCTGCCCCAAATGAAGATGACAAATGGCCTCACAAGATCTTAAGTGGGAGGAACTTGGGGGTTGAGAAAGTTCTGTCTTTCTTCTCCTTCAGATGCAGTGAGAAAGCATTGTATCTCCACGGGGGAGAATCACTCAGGACTGCAGAAAATGCACCCACTAAGCTGACCCACTTCTTCCTCCCCTGGCCCGGCCATCGCAGGAATGTTCCCAGAGCATTTGCGTCTCACAAGGACCTTCTGACAAGTCCACACAGTTGGTCTGCGCGGTGTGGAGATCAGAGGCAGCTTGGGTTTGGAATTTGCTTTCAGAGCTCATGGAAAGCCCTAAGCTCTGGCTCTGAGTAACCCCAAAGGGCCCTCCACACTGGGGCGAGTTCCAGCCCGGGTCATTCTCCTGCCCGCCCTCCCTTGCACATTGGGGCTGGAAAGATGGAGGAATTCTGGGAAAACTGTTTTTGCAGCGAGGGGGTCATCCCCGTCCCACCTGATCCAGCCCCCCCTTCAGGCAAGGTCAGTATCACAACTGCCCAGCTGCATTTCCCTCCTAAAGAGACAGAGTTCATAAAGATCGATCTGATCATCAGCCTGACCTGCCAGCATCGATCTGATTGGAAGTGACGCCAGCACACACAGTTCCCCGTTCTGCACCCAGGGGGAAACTCAGCCAAGTTCAGAAGCCCCTTAAATCCGCTGAGGAGTGACTCCCTTCCCCAAGAGCCCCGAAACGTCCCCCAAGCTAATAACCCCCGGCAAAGCACTGCCAGGGAAAATTCCTTACGGATTTGAGATTTTCACTCAGTTAATCTCCTAACTCAATAAAGCACTCCTGCAGCAAATTAAATACTTTTATTAAAGCCCCCCCCCACTTTTCTTTGATGTGAGGTAGACCCGCAGCCCCCCACCCACCCAAGGGCCTGACATGAGGAGCATGCTTTTATCATTTTCTGCTACCCTGTACTTCTGGGGCAATGCTGGAATATGTAGTGTATAATGCTCCTCTTACTCCCAGGACACCCGGAACCCACTAGAAACGTCTGGTTTTTAGATTCTGGAAGCTTCGAGACCTCTGGCTTCCTGCATGGAGACCATGAGCTATAGGTTAAGGGAAGAGTTCCCCATCTGTAAGGGGCTCCACAGCACAGGCCCAGCCACTAGCATTTTGCCAGTTGCAATGCACATAGCAAGAAGACCCCAGCAAAGAGGGAGGGACTGGCCAGGGAGGCTGAGTGAGCCTGGGACAGTGTCGGGTGGGGACTTGGGATCCAGAGGCCTCAGTGCCCTGCCCTCTCCACTGCTCCCTTGGAATGCTGCCAGTGGCCCCCTTCAGTCTCTGTTACTTGGAGGTGAGCTCCGGTTCTCCTAAGACCGTTGCAGGAGGGGGCTGGAGCGATACTACAGTGGGAAAGGCATTTGCCTTGCACGTGGCCGACCCTGAGCACCACCAGGAATAACCCCTGTACAAAGCCAGGAGTAACCCCTGTGCATTGCCAGGTGTGACCAAAAGGGGGAAAAAAAAACCTTTGCAAGGTCTCTTCCATGATGCCTCAGGAAGCTTGTTTCACAGGGAAAGGCGTGCTTAGCAAATGTTGCAGCTTTTTCTATTTCTGGGAGGGACAGAGTGCAGCCACCTACCTACCCCAGTTGGATTCCCAGGAGTGACCCCTGAACACAGAGCCAGGAATAAATTCTGAGGCCTGCCAGCTATGGCCTGAAAGGCAAAAATGCAAAACTTTTATTTTCCAAGCACCACCAAGTGTCACTTTCACTGCAGGATCTGCAGCATGGCGAGCTCTGTTTCCGTGGCAGTGACACTGGAAATTGGGTGTCAGTCACCGCAGACACCATGGCTGACGCCCCGACACCCTCTCAGCAAGGCATCTCTGTGGGTGATGTGGGCCAGAGTGATGGCCCAAAGTTCCGCAGGCAAGCCTTCCCCAGAGCGGGTGACAGACCCCCCTCTCCGCCAGGGATCTGAGAACCCCTGCCCTGCGCCACTCTCCCTGCCAGAGGAATGTGGCCGCCCGAGCCCAGAACGTCCACTGGGCATCTGGAATGGGCCCCCGGGTCAGGCCAACCCCAGGAAGATGCTCTGGGCTCTGCGGATTCCCACCCGCATCCTCCTCCCCAATTCCCATGGACGGAACAGCTTCCAGACTTCCGTCCTCCTCTAGAAAGCAGAACTGACATCCCTGGAGATTACAGAAAGCAGAGAAATGGCCTCATTGAGAAAATGAGGGAAGCATGACGAAGAGCTAAACCCTCCAGCGGAATCCAGACCCAGCTGCCTGCTCGCTCGGACCCATGGCAAGCTGTTTGCCCCCATAAACCTCAGCCCCTTCAGCTATAATATGGGAGGAGGATGGCTCCCCCCTCCCCAGAATCACTGAAGAACTTGACTGAAATCTTTGTTTTGTTTTTGGTTCATACCGAGCGGTGCTCGAGACTTACTCCTGACTCTGCTCAGAAATAACTTCTGGCAGTGTTCAGCAGACTATATGGGATGCTGGGGATCGAACCCAGGTCGGCTGTGTGCAAGGAACGTGCCCTACCCACTGTATTATGGCTCAGGCCCCTGTCATGGAAAATTCTTTAGCACACTGAAAGGATGGGTTGAAAGAGCTGATAGGAAGAGGCTGGGCTTCCAGATCTCCTACCAGAGGTTGTGGCCCAGTCAGGAGCAAGGAATTCATTCACTCCTTCCCCAGGCCTGCAGCAATTTTTTAATATCCTCCCCAATTCTTTCAGGAGCCCAGGGAGATCAGGGGAGAGCTGGGGCCTGCTGCCTCCCTCCCCTCCTCACTCTGCAGGGGGTACCCCAGGTGAGTGGAGCTGGGAGTGGGGATGCAGCCTCCAGGTGACCCTGGGGCCATGGTGACCCCAAGGCAGAATCTATCCCGGGCATAGTGGGTGGTCCATACATGGGTTCTCAGAAGAACAAAAGTAGATATTACAATGGTTTGTGGGACCCTCAAAGCTCAACCCATGCTGACGAGTCTATTCCATAGTATCTCATCTGACTCATTAGAAGCAAATTAGAAGCAAATGAAATTCTCATTCAATACATTGAAAATTTTCTCCCTGAAGGCAGCTGAAATAGAGAAGGGATCACTAAGACAATGATAGTTGGAGAAATCGGTCAGGATGGGAGATGTGTGCTGAAAGAAGATAAAGGACCAAACACGATAACCTCTCAGTATCTGCATTGCAAACCATAATGCCCAAAAGTAGAGAGTATGGGGAATATTGTCTGCCATGGAAAAATGGGAAGGGTGGAAAGGGGAGGGTATACTGGGGAGATTGGTGGTGTGGAATGTGCACTGGTGGAGGGATGGGGGTTTGATCATTGTCTGATTGTAATTCAAACATGAAAGCTTGTAACTATATCTCATGGTGATTCAATAAAATAATAATTTTAAAAAAGGAAGAAAATTTTCTCCCTCCCCTGATCCCCCCCCCCACCTCGGGAGCAGGAAGCTACTACAAAAGGGTGGAGACAGCTTGGTGTGCCTGTCTTCTAGGCTCTCAGCTTCCTGCCCGGGGCCTGGTCCTCTCACCACAGGCTCCTGATGCCCGGCTGTGACAATGCTGGCCGGCACGGTCCAGTTCAGAGGTCGCTCTGCCCAGGCAACAGGCCAGAGCAGGCCTGTCCTTATCCTGACCCTCCCTGGCTACCCAGACAGTTTCCCCAGAGTCTCTGACCTCCTTCTCTTCCATCCCCCTTTACTACTCCCAGCCCTCACTACTCCCAGCATATTCCTCCTCTGTGCACAGCCACCCTCAAATTCTACCAAGTCCCTCTTCTGTAGGGTTTCACTGGACCACTTTATCTAGATATCTAAACTTTTCTTTCTCTTTTTTGTTTTTTTTATCTTTTGGACTGACCATTGTGCATCAGCAATTCTCAGGGGTTACCCCCGGCTCTGCACTCAATTACTCCTGATGGTGGTAAGGAACTAATATGGAATGCCAGGGATCGAGCTCAGGTCAACCGTGTGCGAGGCAAATGTCCTACCCACTGTACTATCGCTTCAGCCCCTCATATAGACTTTTTGTGATGGATATTTTCCTTCTTCCAACCCATCTTCCCTAGTCTCCTGCAGCATTTAGTTGAACCATTTAACACAAAAGAATATTTGTGGATGGGTACTCGATCATTGTATGACTGAAACGAAAGTTTGTAAATCTGCAACTGTATCTCACAGTGATTCATTTAAAAAAATTTTTAAAGAACATTTGCCTTTGTATTATTCTCTCTTGTCTGATTGCTTGGGAATCAGATCTTCCTTCCCACTTGGATTTTTAAAGGTTTATTTTAAATTTTTATTATTTTTTAGGGGGGATTGGAGGTCCACACCTGGCAATACTCAGGAATTACTTCTGGCTCTGCACTCAGGACTCCTGGCAGTGCTCGGGGGACCATATGGGATGCTGAGGATCAAATCCAGGTTGGCCACATACAAGGCAAGCACCTTACCTGCTGTTCCATCTCTCCAGCCAAAGATCTTTTTAATTTTTTTAGACTAAAAACAAAGTCATACATTTCTGTTATTTTTGCTTTCTTCTTAGGGTCTAGTTCAATTCTGAGCACCAAGGTAGGAAACTGGGAGGGTTCCTGGGAGCTGCAAAGTGCACTGGCAGAACTCCTGGGTAGGCAGCCTGGGCCCTAGGCAGGCCCCGGGAAGCCCCTCCGCCTCCCTCCTGGGCTCCGGCTCACCTGGCTGACTCCTTCCACTCCATCTGGTCTCCATCATGCTGCAGAGTGTCCATTTCCGTGAACAGGGTGGGGTTGGGAGCCTCATCTTCCTCCCCCAGGATGTCCTGGAGCTGCTCAGCAGCTGGAGACCCTGCAAAAAGAGGACAGTGGGGTCTCACTGGGTGGCCGTGGAAAGAGGAGGGCTGAGAAATGACAGCAGAAATGGAGCAGGAGCAAGCGGAAGGGCACAAGTGCTCCTAATTCAGTAAAACTCAGTCCAGCTCTCAGACTCCGCAAGCTGAGGCAGGGGGGATGTTCTTCGAGATAAAAGAGATGAAAGGGTTAGTCTGTGTATACAGGTGCAAATATAGATGCCAATGTGTACAATATGGTAGCTGACCTTAAAGAAGGACAGAAAGTGGCCAAGACCAGAGCAGCAGTAAGGATGGAGAAGAGACTGAGAAAGTGAAATAGGAAAGAAAAAATGGATCCAGGTCCAGAGTGATAGTGCAGTAGGTAGGGTACTTGTATTACATGCAGCTGACTGACCCAGTTTGATCCCTGGGACCCATATAGTCCCTGAGCACTACCAAGAGTGATACTGAGAGCAGAGCCAGGAGTAAGCCCTGAGCACTGCAGGGTGGCCCCAAAATAAAAACAGACAAACAAATATGGATCCAACTTTAGCATAAGAAGCTCAGAGGTATCCCTTGGCCCTTATGCCCCTCACCATTCAAGTCCCCGCAGTGGCCCGGACAGGGAAATCAGCTATATGGACACAAAGGTCTGCTACGATGTGCACCCAGGCCCACCTTCAGCATTCACAAGGTCACACCTGTTGCCGACCCTTAGCCTGCTGCCAACTATCCACTGGCTGCCATTGTCCAGCTGGGAGTCACTGAGCATGTAAGCTCCCTCAAACACAATTGTCCTATGTTTGATCCTCCCTTCTTTTTTCTCTCTCATTCAATATTTAACCCGTACCTCCTACATGCCAGATATTGTTCTAGTGTTGGGAAAGAAAGCTGTGAGCAAAGTCTTCACCCTTGCCCTCTTGGGAATCTGTTCTAGTGGCAGAGACAGACAACGAACAAAAATCCAGGTACAGGTCAGATAGTGACAAGTGCTGGTGGGGGCGGGGGGAGTAAATAATCAAATTATATGTGAGATATCAAGATTAGGAAGGTACTCACTGAGGAGGGGGCATCTGAATTGTGGCTTGAAAGATGGAAACAAACTTCTAAAAGAAAAGTTCTCCAAGGACTGGAGCGATAGCGCAATGGGTAGGGCATTTGCCTTGCACACGGCCAACACGGGTTCAATTCCCAGCATCCCATATGGTCCCCCGAGCACTGCCAGGAATGATTCCTGAATGCAGAGCCAGAAGTAATCCCTGAGCATCGCTGGGTGTGGCTCAAAAAGAAAAAAAGGAAAAGGAGGAAGGAAGGAAAGAAGGAAGGAAGGAAGGAAGGAAGGAAGGAAGGAAGGAAGGAAGGTTCTCCAAGTGCACCTAAGACCCACAGAGAGAATGTGTGGGTCAGTGGGGCATGATGCAAGAGAGGACATGATGGAAGATCTAGGCGGGAAGGCACAACTGAACAAGCATCAGAGTCTGGAGCCATGCCCCCTCCCTCCAGTCTAACCTCCTCCACCCCCACTACCACCACCTCATTGAAAGTTTTCAAGAGCAAGTTCTCTCCTCACTAATTCCATCATCCTACCCTGGTCCAGTCTTGATGGTCATTCCTGGTCTCCATCACGCTGCAGAGGGTCCATTGACTCTCTCCTGGGTTTCATCAAACATTGTCCTTTTCCTTCAAACCTCTCTGTCTCCTCTGTTTATCATCCCCTTTGGCTCTGGTTTATTTCTCCATGGATGCCCAGTGGTCAGTCATTTCAACTATCCTTTCTTCAAACACTCCACTCTCTTAATCTTTGACTCCCCAACACAGCCAGCTAGTCACTGTCCAAACAAGGGTTCCTTAGCCCCATCTCCATCTCTGTAGTTACATCCGGAGGGTGGACGGAGGAGGCTGGGGTACAATACGTGAACCTGAATTGTCACTTACTCTCAAATGAATTCAGCATGAGTCAACAGAGTTCTTGGGAGAAATAAATCAGAAAAGGAAAGTGCAGCTGTGACACAAGGCCTAGAATGTAGCAGGTGCTCACTCCCCTCACCAACAACCCCTGCACCCGGCCCACAAGTCCTCCAGCTGGAGAAAACCAGCTGACCAGCTGAGCGTGCAAATGAAGCATGTCTGCTCTGAGCACTCCTCAGAGGAGCCACCACCGTTTGACCCAAACCTGTACCCTTTCCTTCCACCCGCGACCCAATCCCAGCCTTGCTCCTCTCTGCATCTCCTACCCCACTTCACCCAAAAATAAGGCCTCTGGGCATGAACCCCATCTCCAGCTTCCCATATAGTCCCTTTGCATGTCTCTGAACAAAATAACCAACTTCAGGTCCCATCTAACATTCCCTTGTGGCAGATGCTTCTTTCTTCAACTCTCTTTTCCTTGCATGGAAAGTTTAGCTTCTCTCTCTACCTGCTCTCTGTCAACCCATAAACAGCCTTCTCACCCCCGAAACACCGGCCCTGGTCCTGCCTGCTTTCCAACCTTCCCTGCTCTCCCTTTACTCCCCATTTCCCCATCTTCTGGAAGGAGTGGTCTTGAGCTGTGTGCGCTTACTTCCTCCAGTCACGTCCCACTGTACAGCTCCTCCTCACTAAGGGAGAGAGTCCAAACTGGCAGCTCAAAGATTTGTTTAACTTAGCTTCCACAGAATGGAACTTTTTGAAATTGCTGCTTACATAAAGAATGGGGGAGAGTCCTTTTAAAAAATATATCCAGATCTTGGGGCTGGAGTGATAACACAGCAGGTAGGGCATTTGCCTTGCACACAGCTGACCCGAGTTCGATTCCCAGCATCCCATATGGTCCCCTGAGCACCGCCAGGAGTAATTCCTGAGTGCATGAGCCATGAGTAACCCCTGTGCATCACCAGGTGTGACCCAAAAAAGAAAATATATATATATATATATATATATATATATATATATATATATCCAGATCTCTGAATTCTCTTGAGAAATGCATCTGTGTTGATAACCATGTCCACATTCCTGCTTGACAACTCAATCATAGCTGCTTTCCTCAGGAGGTCGTCGCCATCTCTGTTTGCCACAGTTCCCACTGTCCCCTACTGCCCTGCTCATCTCCATGTATCATGCTCTGTACCTGCATTCACAACCCCTGCCCTCAATCTCTATTTTGATTATATTATCAAACCAAGAAGCTCATACAAGCTAATTAGCTCACAGCACGATGAAGCAATGGTTGAATTTATTTTGCTGGACATCAATGGGGCTGACTGCTCACACGGAATTGAAAGACTACTCTTGGGGCTACAGCGATAGCACAATGGGTAGGGTGTTTGCCTTGCACGCGACCGACCTGGGTTCGATTCCCAGCATCCCATATGGTCCACTGAGCACCGCCAGGAGTAATTCCTGAGTACAGAGCCAGGAGTAACCCCTGTGCATCGCTGGATGTGATCCAAAGAGCCAAAGAAAGAAAGAAAGAAAGAAAGAAAGAAAGAAAGAAAGAAAAAAGTCTACTCTTAGCTCTTAGCATAGCACTTCCACTTCCTTTATGTATATTTTCCCTTCTCTCTCCAGACCTTTTCAAGTCCTCCTTGTCTGACTGCTTAAACTTGATCTTCCCCCAAGATTTCTCTAGCCTTCTTTTCTGTTCTCTTTCCACATTCTTCCTGGGCCATCTGTGTCTTATGGTGTCACTCCAGAGTCAAGGTCACCCATATTTCCAGATCCCACTTGTATCGAGAACTGTCAGTTGCCAATGGTTGCTCCCTGCAGGCTGTTTCAATGCATTAAAACAACTAGACGTCCCTTTCCCAACGCCTCAGTCCTCCCTCTGTGTTCGGGTTAACAGCACTCAGCTGTCCAAACACGGAACAGTGGAACCGCTCCTGGGGCCTCCTCCTCCACCACCCGCAGCCAATCAGACACCCCTTGCGTTTGCTCCCCACCCCCCATCTCCAGCTCTCCCCCTTCCCCTGCCCTTTCGCTGCCACCATCTTGTGCAAGCTCCCATTCTCTCTGGCGCCTACAGCCGCAGCTGCACCAAGTGACCACCCATCCTAGTCCCTAGGTAGCTGTGGGATTTGCTTGCAAGCTCTTTCAAATGTGCTCCTGCAACAGTCTCCTGGGAATCCCGGTGCTCTTTGGGCAACAGCACGAAATACTGAGCACACGAGTTAGAAGTCTTTTAATTAGCAGGACGCACAAAAGCACTATATATCAAGGAATTTATTCCAGCATGCTTCTATTTCTTTAAACTCACATTCTTTTCACTGGCTTACTGATTGCTGATACTAGCTAGCAGGCACTGAAAGCTGAAGGAAATTTTATGGAGGAAAAATGAACAGTTGAACAAATTCCTTTTTCTTAATCTGGGAGCCTGTGACTGCCTCATTCTCAAGGGCACAACTGTTCGCCAGAGGGTCAAATTTCAAGAATTCGCTTTGAGGGGCTGGAGCAATAGCACAGCGGGTAGGGCGTTTGTCTTGCACCCTGCCGACCCGGGTTCGATTCCCAGCATCCCATATGGTCCCCTGAGCACCGTCAGGGGAAATTCCTGAGTGCAGAGTGAGGAGTAACCCCTGAGCATCGCCGAGTGTGACGCAAAAAGAAAAAAAAATAAGAACTCGCTTTGACAAGGCCAACGGGATCATGCTACCCTCTGGGTAGAAAACCTCATGGTTCTCTCTTGTCTAACGTCTCATGCCGACTCACGCCGACTTCCCTGCCACCCAAACCTCCCCTGGGATGAGGCCCTAAGCAGACTTGCTCAGTTCTGTCAGGTCCCTGGCCCCGAGAGCCCTGGCCCCAGCTGTTCTCGCCATCCAGTCGCATCAGACCACACACAGAGAAGGGCACCCACCTTTGTGTCCACTGTTCCCTAAGTCGGGCATCCCCTCCTCCCTTCAAGGCAGACTTGAGTGGAGCCCTCGGAAGGGAGCAGACAGGGCAGGGAGCAAGGCGCCTGGCGCAGACCTGTGGGGCGTTACCTGTTCCCGGGGGCAGCTGAGCGCTGGGGTCTCCGGCTGTCGGCGCTGCCTCTGGC